TTTGTCGAACAAAGGCATGGAATAATTCTAGAGCTCTCCTTAAAAAGAAAATAGTTGTAACACTCGACGGTAAACATTCCAACTGTCTCTGTCCGGTAGCTCGCCACACGCAGACCCTATTCTTCGAGTAAGATGATTGCCAGATGTCGATGCGTCTCCGCAGTACATGTTCAGCTAGCCCGAGGGCTCGTTATAAATCTAAACAGAAATAAACTAAACATGGCACCCAGCCTCGAGCTTACCTCCGACCATACGCCCATAATAATTGCATACACAAACAAACCAATACTTTACAGCAGCACAGAGAAGCTATGCAATAAAATCACCAAATGGCAAATATTCAAAGAAATAATAGAGAGCAAAATCAGCTGCAACATCCCACTGAAAACGCCCGAACACATCGATCAAGCAGTAACAACGCTCACAGGAACTATCCAAGAAGTGGTGTTGGTTTCTTATTTTTCCAATCTTTTTTACTTAACAATATACTTTCAATAATCTATAATTGAAGCATCGAAAAACATTAATGTTTTAGTATTACACTATTACCATACGTTATATCATTCTTATTTTTACATACATTTATATTTTTCTAAATATTCGTTTTCTGTACATCTAAAGCTGTTGAGATTTATCTCGGAATAGAGAGTAAAAATGCGTGGATGAATGTAATAAGATAACAAGATAACAACAATAACAGAGATAAAAAAAGGGCAGAAAGTAGCGTGCAATTAAAAATTTTGGCGGGTTTAAAGAAAAAAATGTGTCTTATAAAAAGAAAAAATAAACATTAAGGTGCTATAACAATTATTTAAATAACCTTTTTGATGAACTTTTTTAGTTCATCGAGAAGGAGAATATATAATAATTTTAATCCTTTTTTGGTTTTTCGTTTCAGTCAAGAATTACGAGATGAATCTTTCACTCCGATTGAAAACTGCAACCCATGAAATAGGCTTAGAAATCTGTTATAATTTTTTTGTTTACTTTAAAAAAATTTTTTTCTATTCGTTAAATATATATATGTCGTATCGTCGTCATAATACCGTCGGTTTGGGGTATGTAATGAACCTTCACTCGAACTATCCATCTTCTTACACAGTTGAAGTGACATCTATTGATACAAATACGGATATTACAGAGTTGACAAAGAATCGCGATGATTAGGCACTAGTGACACTGATTTAAGACACGATAACGACCCCACGGTCAATGGGATAGTAGGTTTAATTTTTCGTCAATGTCTAAGTTGGAATTTATATCAAACGTGGAGTAATCACAGATAGTAAGGTGTTAGTTAATTCGTCAATAAACTCGTACACGAGAGAGAGAGTGTTTTTTTTTTTTAAATAACATTTGTTTAGACCAAGATACATTTTAATACATTTGGGTATTCACAATAAACTATGAATTTTGATAAGATGTGTTAGGCAAAAATACCGATACGCGACGGTACAACGTAGCCATACTATGTTATGTATGGCTATGTTATGTTTTAATATAATCTTCGGCTTTAAGCCGCTGGGGAGGGGAGCTTTTATGTGATTTTGTCTTTAGTTGCTTTTTCTGTCCTGAAAACTTGGTCGCAAAACAGGACGACGAGAGAGAGTGTCTCTCCGTCACGGTGACGCTGTTGTAACGTCAATCCACATGAGAGACCAGGCCGCTGTCACGACCGGCTCACTTTAAAATCGGAGATAAAGATGTATTGGCATTCGGCAACAATGTATATCGCTGAAGTGCCTAATGAGCCATCAATATCCCAACGGTCCTTCCGCCGAATATTCGAGGAGATGGCGTGCGTGACGGCGATCGCGGACTCCTAACAAACTCAAGGATAGTGGAGATATCGAGGGGTGACAAAAAACAAATAACCGAATCCGATCGGAAGTCGAGTCGTAAGAGTGTCTTGAAAAGTCGCGTCTAGAGCTCGGAAGTAAAAATTGTGAACTGTGTTAGAAAAAAAGTAAAGTTTCTTTTTTTCATTTTTTTCTGTTTTTTGTGTTATTTTACGTGACACTGTCGGGGAAAACTATGATGGGGTGTGTCTATTGGTACGAAATCATCGGATTCGTGGTGAGATGCCTTCCTTCGGGAAGTTTTTTTTTTTTTATTTATTTATTTTTTTTTATTTATTTATTTATTTACAGTTTACAATTTGTCCAGTAGGACATTTAGTAAAATATTATAGCTTAGTGGTATAATAATATAACATGTAGATGGCTACCCCCAGTGGGATACCATCTTCGAATTTGATTGATTTATTTCTTTAGTGTGGTGAGTGTTTATATGTTAGGTTATATCCTTTGTGAGATCTGTTGGGTGTTTCCTTTTTAATCTTCTTATTGGGGAAGTGAGGGAAATTGACGTTGCTGTTAACACTAGGTTTACGGGACCCGTCAATTTGACGGATTTCGAACTTCGAAATGAAATATCTCGAAAATCATAGCACCAATTTTAACCATTTCGCATCATAAATTAATCATTTCATCTAAAGAATTTATACATAAAATTATTTTTTCCTAGGCTTTCTAATTTTTGAAATCTGTATGTAGTATATCTACCTCTACGGGACCCGTCAAATTGACGGGTAAACGAAAATACACATTTTTCTCTAAAAAATCGATTTATTCAAATTAAGTCTGAAAGGAGCAATATTAAGCTTCACATTTAAATAAATTATTAATAAATAAAAAGTCTTTTTTTAAATTATCACTAAAAAAATAACAATGATATTAATGGTACAGGGTAATCATATCTATTGAGCACATTTTTCGCAAATATACTGAATGTTGTTTGCGCATTTTCCGCATACGATCTTTTTGCAATATATACAATAATTATTACTTCTATTTTTTTTTGCAATAACCCACTCGACAACTTTTTCGCACTTCTGACTTTGAAGGCTTTTTTTTTTAATCTTTTTTGTTTTGTTTATTTATTTACATTTTACAATTTGTCCAGTAGGACATTTGGTAAAATATTATAGCTTAGTTGTATAATAATATAACATGTGAATGGCTACCCCCAGTGGGATACCATCTTCGAATTTGATTGATTTATTTCTTTAGTGTGGTGAGTGTTTGTATGTTAGGTTATGTTCTTTGTGAGATCTGTTGGATGTTTCCTTTTTAACCTTCTGACTTTGAAGGTGACAGAAATGAAGCGTCTGATCTTTGACAAATGTTCTTCTTCTGTTTTTCTTGTTTTCTCCAGCTAAGTCCTCGGCTAAACAAAATATGAATTCCTTTTTGAATAATTTCGATCTGATGCACTCTCTATATAATATCCACCCGTTTATCGCTGCCAAATCCAAAATATTGAAAAAGACTTAAAGGGGCCATCGGAAACCCCCTGCTTTCACACTATATTTGCGTGCCATTTGGTCAACGACGTCCACACCAAACTTTGTTTTATTGTAAAAAGCAATGGTTTCTGGAACACGATTATAATTATCTTCTCTTCGTACACCTGTATGTTTAGTGCTTAGAAGGAGAATTTCTACTTTAGGTTTACTTTTATACACAGCAAGTGTACAGTTTTCTGATTTATATAAATCTGAGGAAAACAAAGTCATCTTGTCCTTTTTTTTCTTCGCTGGTTTTGCCAGTTCTCTTTTATTCGACCGGATGGTCCCAACCAAAGTTGTTTTTTGTGCTAGCAATTTTTTAGCTAGCGGGATGCTTGTAAAGAAATTGTCTGTCCTTATATTTTTGCCTCGTTGTAAATATGGTTCGGCTAATTTTAGTGTTACAAACTCGCTTAAATCTCGGTATTGAGCACCGAGTTTCATCTTTCCCCATATAAGGGAAATCATTCAAAATCTACTTTGTTTGGACGTCAACTGCTAACCAAAATTTTTTTTTTTATTATTATTATTTATTAAAATTACAATCAATTCTCGAATTTTCAATAATTTTTCTGGCGTGGCGCAGTAACATTGCTAATTATTTATAATAAGTTAATGCTTGTTATAGATAAGTATAATTTGTACGTAAGTATTGTAAATAAGTAGATGTTACTTAATTTAAATAACTAGTTGAATCTATCGTTTAGGTCTAGCGGGTAGTGTCTCTTCAGCCTGCGGATCTGGTCCGTCTGATCCAATTTTTTTTTTTTTTTATTTTATTTGTTGAAATTACAATCAATTCT